CCGCCCCGCCGCCAGCGCGCAACCAGGGCTTCGACGTGGTGCTGGTGGACACGGCCGGGCGCATGCAGGACAACGCGCCGCTCATGACGGCGCTCGCCAAGCTCATCGCCGTCAACGCGCCCGACCTGGTGCTCTTCGTGGGCGAGGCGCTGGTGGGCAACGAGGCCGTGGACCAGCTGGTGAGCGGGGTGCCGTGGGGCGGGCGCCGGGGGGCGGCCGGGGGGGCACCGCGCTGCCCGCCGTCGCCTCCCGCGCAGGTCAAGTTCAACAAGGCGCTGGCGGATCACTCGGCGGCGCCCACGCCGCGCCTCATCGACGGCATCGTGCTCACCAAGTTCGACACCATCGACGACAAGGTGAGCGGGGGGACACGGGGGGCCGCGGGCGGCGCTCGCCGCCGCTCACCGCCGCGCGTGCCAGGTGGGTGCCGCCATCTCCATGACGTACATCACGAGCAAGCCCATCGTGTTCGTGGGCACCGGGCAGACCTACTGCGACCTGCGCAGCCTCAACGCCAAGGCCGTGGTGGCGGCGCTCATGAAGGCCTAGGCGGCCGCCCCGCTCGCCCGCCCTATTTATTGCGTGCGGCCGGCGCCCGCCTCGCCGCTCACCAAAGCTGCCCAACCAAAAAGCGCCCGCGCGGGGAGCCCGAGGGCGGGCTCTGCCCSCTCGCTCGCCGCGGGCCCCGGGGCTCTGTCGCGCCTGTGCTCTAGTGCAATAAACCGACCGCTGTCTGCTCCGCGAGCCCCGAKCCGTACCCAGCGCCTCTCGGGGCTCGGAGGGCGCCGACTCGCGGCTCTGGGGCTCGTGGAGCGCCCGGCTGGGTGAGCCGCGTCCTCCGCTGCGTGGGGCCGGGCGCTCCCCGTCCYCGCGGCGCTGCACGAGCTCCCGCCGCTCACACGTGCGTGCACAGGCGTGCTCCCGGGGGCTGGTGCACGCGTGCACGGGCTCACACACGTGCGCTGCGGCCCGTTCACCCCTGCTTGCACGAGCGCGCCGCGGCTTGCACGAGYGCGCGCGGTCACGCGAGCCTCCGCGCGCGTGCACGAGCCGCCCCGCCGGCGCCATGGCAACCGGCCCCGCCCCCGCCCTCCCATTGGCTCGCGGCGGGGGTGGGGAAGGGGCGCGCGCGCGAGCCCGCCCTCCCWTCATGTTCTCGCGATGTTTCCGGGCTATATAAGGCGGCAGGGAGGGGCGTTGCGTTCAGTGGCGGGTGGAGGGGCTGGAGTGTGGGGGGTTTGTGTTGCGTTGCCGGCGGAAGGGTTCGGCCTTGTTCCCTTTCCCAGGCTCCCGCCCCGGGCCTTCCTCCCCGCTGTGCCAGACGGAGCCGCCCCTGCGCGGTGACCGCGGGGCGCCTCGGCGCGAGTGTGCGGGGAGGCCTTTACCCTTGTCCCCCGCCCAGAGCCGAGCGGCGCGCTGCTTCATCCCTGCGGCGGGGAAGGACAGCCCGGCGCGGCTGCCCACACCGCCCCCATTAGGCTCCAGAGTGAACGGGCGGCGCCCCTTCCCGCTCCACCCGGTGGGGCTGCAGACAGGGGGGCCGCGGTTACGGGGCGGCGGCGGCGGCTCCGCCGGGCGGGCAGGGGGCGCTCTGCGCCCGCCGCCGCGCA